TCCTCTATACACCTCTGATGAAGCGATACAGAAGAAATACAATGAGAATAGAATGTACAAAACCAAGCTGTTTTCCCTGACCTAATCTTATATATTAAAAGGAACCTGACTGAATAAATTCTCTGTCATAGCCAGCTGATGTTTACGACACAGTACACAAAAATTCATCAATAATTAAGTTTAAAGTTGATTTTAAAGAAAAAGAAACAGAAGCCTCTCAAAAAAACAAAAAAAAAAAAGTAAAAAGAAAAAAAAAACAAAAACATATTCTGTTTAATGGCATCTGCTTGGGCAAGAAAACTTAAACATATAAATGCTAAACCATTTCCAAATGTACTAACTCTCTAATAATGATAGTAAACAGAAGTTTTCTGTTAATCTCTATGATTTCTAAAAGTCAAAACTGTACCTTCACCATAGAACTCCTGGGACAAACTTGAATATGAATCTTCTTAAGAATACCACATTGATCTTGGTCCTCCTGTTATCATCTTTGTGACCATAAGTAAGTCAATTCACCTAAGTTTTAGTTTTCTTATCCATAAAAGGTACTTCTAAACTAATGAATATTTAAATTATCAGAAGGAGATAGACATCAATCCCCAGTATAAATTGCAGATCCATTAATAATATTTAAGATCACCATATTCTTTATTATCATTCTTCCAAACATAAAAACACTACTTGTCTGTATATAAAGAGGAGGAGTGGAAAGAGAAGATTGTTAAAAGGAACAGAAACTAGGTTGGTTTTGTTAATTAGGTTCCCCCTCTGAAACCACGAGCCAGTATTAGCGTCTCCTGAAATTTACTCAATACCCTATTTTAAAAACAGAATGGTTTCTCCATCTCAAGACATACCCTTTCGTAAAATGGGACAAGTCAATTTCTAGGAATGTATCTTTCAGCAGCTGTACTACTAAGGCGGGGGAGGCAAACAAAAGAGCATAATACAGATGACATGAGTCTACTGTCTATAGGGAGAAAGAAAAACTCTTCCCTTTATAACGCATTCAGAAAAGAGAGCAACAATGGGCTCTGTACCTGCCAGCTTCAGGAGGCACAAGCCTATAGGCAAATTATCTTATGTGTGGGGAATTTACATGGTGAGATGCTTTCTATGTTTTACAGCATGTGTTTTCCTTATGAATGACTTCATTCACCTCCTTCATTAATTCAACAGTTATTTATTGAGTACTTACTTTATGCAAACCAAAAGCTAAAAAAAAAAAAAAAAAAAAAGTTACGAGCTTACAATTAGAATATTCAAGTAAGCCCTGACATGTACCTTACAGTAAGTACTTCAGCCCCTCAGAATATTTTCAAGTCAAACAGCAATACTAAACAATATACTGTAGATGCTAAGCTAAAACGCACTTGTTACGTTTCATTCCTTTGATGACGTGGTATGTAGTAAAGGTGGGAAGGGATAAACTAAAGCTGAAAGAGTAATTAGCCAGGTCTCTTAGGTGATATAGGGTAAAAAGGTGTCCTTTGTCTAGAGAAAATGATACCAGATTACAAACACATTGCTAAGCAACACAGAATGCTAAAGTTGGAAAGAAAAAACACAATTTCATACAAACGTTTTGTTTTATATGTGAGACACTTGAGACCTGGAAGTGATATGATTTGGCCCAGGTCATACAGCCAAATGCAGTCCCAGAACTAGAACCCAGGTCACAGGGGGCATGCTGAACAGTCCCTTGAGTATTGCAGTTTCCATGATGTGTCCTCATTGCTATCAGAACTGAAATGATGGCAGAATACACAAAGCAATGGACTGGATATCAGAAGACCCAAGTTCTAGCCTTGTAAACTCCTCTAAATTAGATGTAAATCCATGAAAAACTCCCACTGCTTGTCTAAACCTCAGTTTCCTCATCCATAAAATGTAAACAGTAATTTACAGTGAGACTGTGCAGACCACAATAAATGCAGAAGACCTCTACCATTAAAAAACCACCTTATGTAAGTACAGAGCAGGCACCTGGTTATGACAGAAAACCTAACAGTGATTCTAATACCAGCACTTGTTACCTTGATAAATCTCTGAATCTGTGGGCCTCACGTTCCTTCTGTGTTTACATGGTAAATAATCTTCGCCCTGCCTCCCTCAGAAATGTTTGGAATTAGGTGAGAACACTCAAAAGAATTTACAAATTGCAAGACACTGATGCAAATGTAAGGTGTTATTATTAAATCTCTCTAGTCTTAATGTGGACAAAAATGCAATGTGGTTCTATCATTCAGTACTTTACAGTTTTCCTTCTCAGGTAAGATGTCATCATACATCAGTCTCAAACTCACCAGCTTTCTCATCAGTCCTCGTAAGTCTCTGCCCACAGGACCATATCAGAACCCACCGTTTCCCTCCGCTCAGAGATCACACATGAAACTCACTCAGCCTCCCACTGGTTTACACTTGGCCGATTAAGGTTTTTTTTTCCCAGAGTCTCCTTTCAGCTGGGAATGCTCTAGCAAAGCTTCCATGACCACTACCCTACTTCATCACATTAGAGTCCTAATGAAACCAATCCTTTCGCCTTTCTCCACTCCAACAGCTGCGGAACGCTTTAGCCTCTTCGCAGAACAGGAGAGAAGTCTCTGGCTGAATGTGCTTCATTAGAGGGACAAAAGGGGTTCCCCAAACCAAGACTCAGAAGTACTGACACAGAGACACCGCTTCTTCCTTGCACGAGATTAACACATTCTAAGGTCCTACCGGTCCCTTAAGGATCATTCACCTTAGAGCTAGGGCCTCCTGCATCTGAGAATGTCACAGAGAGGTAGTGATAGTGGGTGTTATTTCTGGTCTGCAATACGCTCCCTTTAAAAAAGCATCAGAGTAACTAGGATTGCCTTGTTCGGAGCCCTGATTTCAGTAGATTCAATGAAAGAATTCATCAATCTACCCAAACAACTTCTCCGGAACAGGTTTCTACTCAACCACGCTGGGCACCAGACAAGAGAGCTGGGGGTTGGGGGGATAAGAAATGACAACACACTCATCTGCATAGATGCGAGATAAGCAGACATTTGTTGTCTTCTGTTCTGGCGACTCCTGGCACCGGCATAATAAATCAAACCAGGGCATTCTCCCTCCCCAGTGCCCCCACACTCCCAGCCCCTGCCCCAGATGTTGAAGCGTCACGTTGACCAGGCTGGGGGAGAAAGCCTGGGAAACGCAGAAGTCTGTTGCTGCATTTAGACTGGAACCATACCGCACCTGTTCAATCCGGCTCCAGCGCCAGAAATGAGCAGAACACCAACTCACAAGCCCCTCTTGAGATACCAGGGGCGCCTAACAAGTTCACCGCTGTTTCGTACCGGGGGAGGGTGGTGGGAGACCTTTCCTTCAGCTGTCAAACTCTGCAGGTTCCCCTGGAAGGGGGAGAGGACTCCTATTTAAGTGAACCCAGCGTGTTCTCCGAGCGTCACTGCGGCCCCGGGGATCCGGGTGAGGAGCGGGTGGGTGCCCGTTGGGAGCGCGCAGCTGTGGCCCCAGGGGAACGAAGGTCCCGCTTCGGCGGCCACGGGCGCCCTCTCCACGTCACCCCCAGCACAACGCAGACAGGCAAAGTGGAAGGGTAGAGAGACCGACGGGTTTCAGCAGAGATGCAGAGCCCCCAAGCGCGAGCCCCCTCTGAAGGGTCTAGTGGAAGGGGCCGGGGACGCACAGGAAACTTACCTCACCCGGGCAGCATTCGGGTGCCTCCGCTACCAAGACCAGTTGCGCCACAGTCTGCAAGTTATCGGGAGGTTGTCGCTTCCCCACGGCCAAGGGAGAGCAGTGCAGGCGAGGGGCGGGAGGCGCAGCGGCGCGGAGTGGGCGGCGGGTGGGGCCGGGGCCGGGGGCAGCACTGGGGGCGGGCAGGTGCCGGGGCTGGAGCCGCGGGGCCAAACTCGCTCGGACGCGCCTTGGCGGGGGCGCGCGACTACGAGTATGCAGTGCGCGCGCGCCGCGGCGAGTGTGTGTGTCCCCGCTTTCCCCTTCCTTCCCCGCCGGTCCTTCGGCCAGACGGAGCGGCGAGCGGCCGCCAAAGCCCAGCAGCTCCGAGCGGCTCCACGGCCGGGTGCAGCCTCGCCGCGGCGCGTTCGGGGACCGGGGACCGAGAAGAGCAGCAGCGGCGCCCCCCGGGCTCGGGCGCGGGTTCCCGCTTGGTGCGCGCCGGAGTCGGAGCGAGGCGCAGAGAGAGCCGGCTGCGCGTCGGCTGCCGCGGCTGGGGAGGCTGCAGGCCCCGCCCGCCGGCCGCCCAGGCTCTTCCCCTTTTCTCTCCACCCACTTGCCCCATCGCCGCACGCCCTGCAGCGAAGCCAGACCGGTTTGCAGCACCGGGAGCGGCGGCGGCCGGAGCTTCAGCCGCAGTGGGCTGGGCGTCCCAGCCGGTGTGTGAGGACCTGGCGCCTGTCCCGCCGCCGCTGGCCCAGACTGAGAGCGGAGTTGAGGTGGGCCCCTGGAATTTTCGGGTGCCTCCAAGACTCCAGGGCTAATCCAGGGGTTCCCGGCTGTTCTCAGCGTCTTGAAGCCCTGCGAATCAGGGCTGTGTTGGGGATAGGACGTCCCCTTTCCCCAGGCCACAGAACTCAACTACGCCTGGTCGCCTGCCTGCTGGACTCTGCCTGAGGCAGAGAAGCCGGCACTTAAGTGCAGGCGCCCCCTTCACCAGGAAGGGACAGGCCAGGATTCCAAGGCGTCGGTTGCTCCCCTTCTAAGGACAGCAGGTATTGCCAGCAAGTAAGACCTACCCAACAGGTAGGGGTAGGCTGGCGAGGAGGTCCTAGGAGAGAGAAGCTGGGGGATGTCATGGGAAAGCGCTGTGACAGGGGTGAGGGCCAATCCCTACTGATAGCGCTAAGTGGGCTGGGGGCACTTGGAACGTCACCTGATGTCAGTCTAGCTGCGAAGAGGGTAGGGGTCAGATCTAAAGGACTCCTTTGGGAAAATGCTATCATGAAAGCTAAAGCTAAATTCACTTAATAGGAACCAAAAGGTAGCGGATCCTTCCCGGCTGAATTGAAGCAAATGGTATTTTTCAGCCTCATCACTTCCTTCCACCTTGCCCTTCTTTACCAAAACAACGCCGGTGGAAAACGTGGGTGGAAAACGTGGGATACGTTCTGTCTGGGGAAGAAAAACATTTCATGATCCTTATCTTCAGAGATCTCTGGCTTCCAATTTCTGTTTGAAAGATACTCCCTTAGTTTTCTGCAAATGAACACCTCTTTTCAGTTTTGTCATCTCTTTTTATCTCTCACCCCCCACCTTGAGTGAGGCTCTTATGGTTTAATATCAGCCTTGAATCAAGTGCAATAATTTCTTGATAACAGAAGTATCTTTTTTTTTTTTTAGTTTTACTGAGGCATAATTGACAAATAAAACAAATATCTATTCTTCTTCAGCTGTTTTCCCAGCCTGTTTCTTCTAGATGTGGCTGGCCATTACTGAGAGATTTAAGGTATGGTTTGTTTAGAACCCTGTGACTTGGGTCTGGTTTCTGCTGGCATCCTACACAGCTCAGAGCAGGAGGAACATATATCTAGTCCAGTCCTCCCACTTTACAGATGAGGAAACTAAGGTCTCAAGACATTAACCTAAGGACCGGAACACAGTTCCCCAGACTCTCAATCCCTGAACAATAACTAGCAGAAATATTGTATTAACAAAGTTCAAGATGGGGTGGGTAGACTAGTGGTGGAGGACAGAGGAACAGATCAAAGAACCGTTCATCTGACTGGTACCAATCACTATATAGGGGGCAGCATCACACCGCTGTAACTAGCAGGCTAGTGTGGGATCTGGGAATGGTAATCCCAGTCTCTCCTTTCCTGCTTCTCAGACTTCAGCTCTGAAATCCAGAGTGGAACATTAATTTGCCTCCCAGGGAGGTGGTAGTAAGTGAAAGTGCAAAGTCAGTTTCTGGTAATGCAGGGGAGATGAAGATAGGTAAAACCAAACTTAAATGAAATCACAGTGAATCAAAAGTGATCACACATTACATATAAATGTCCAAATACATGTATCCATACACATGACCCTTTTCCCATTAATGAGCCTGGTATTGAGCCACTTCTGTAAAGCCCAAATGCAAACAGCCTTAGGTTTCCAGAGAGAAGTCTCAAACCAGTCTGCCCACTGGCTATTTAGAGAGCTAACTTCATGAAGCAGGATTCTAAGGAACTCTACCAAGAGCCTTACGATTGCATTATTACTGTGAATTGATTAATGGAATGAATGACCATGTAGTATGAGACCTGGTATTTCTTCCTGATTCTATCTCTGACTCTGTGAGCAGGGATTTAGGAAAGTCATCCTGTATTGGAAATAATACAACATCAATATCGTGAGCAATAGTGACTTGGCCAGAAAATCTGGAAACCTATTTAAAAATCAGAAAATGTTTATCTAATTATTTTGCTTAATTTTAAATGTAATTTTTTCAATTGATTCCTGACCTCAGTCCAAAACCTTAATAATGCTATTGAATACTCCTCTAACTATGAGAAACATGCATGGGTTCCTTGTAGTACATTTAATAGTATTAGTGGCCTCCAATAAATGACCGCCTTTTTTCTCCAAGGTCTTTCCCTCTAACTTTGTAGTCCCCTCCTATTCTGGGCTCAATCGTATGATTTACTTTGGCCAACAAGACAATAGCCGACTTGATGTAAATGAATGCTGGAAAAATGTTTACACATTTCTGTTTCCAGTCTTGGAATTCTGACATCACCAAAATAAGCCTGCTGGAAGATGAAAGACCCCGTAGAGCAGAGCTGAGTCATAACAGCTGAGGCATCCTTGACCAGTCAGCCCTCACTTGACTGCAGAGGCACAAGCAAGTCTGAATGAGATTGGCTAGGCTTGCTCCAGATCACCAGAACCATCCTCCCAACTCGTAGATTCATGAGAAACAATAAATGGTTGCTGTTTAAAGCTACTGTTTCAGATATTGATTGCTGCTTAACAAACGATCCCAAAACTTAGTTGCCAAAATCATCAGTCATTTACTATTTTTCATGATTTAGTGGGTCAACTAAGCCTAGCTGAGTATTGCCTAAGGTCATTCATCGTTTTTGTTTGTTTGTTTTTGTTGTTGTTTGTTTGCTTGTTTTTGAGACAGAATCTTGCTCTGTCACACAGGCTGAAACAGGCTGGAGTGCAATGGCATGATTATAGTTTACTGCAGCCTTGATCTCCTAAACTCAAGCAATCCTCCCACCTCAGCCTCCCAAGTGGCTGAGACCACAGGCATGCACCCCCACACCCAGCTAATTGTTTTTATTTTTGTGTGTGTGGAGATAAGGTCTCACTGTGTTGCCCAGGATAGTCTCAAACTCCTAGCTCAAGCAACCTTCCCACCTCAACCCCTAAAGTACTGATACAGGTATGAGCCACTGTGCCTGGCCTGGGTCACTCATTTGATGGCATTCAACTGGCCACTGGCAGCTGGGCTGAGTTGGAAGGTTCAAGAAGGCCTCATTTACATATCAGGAACCTCAATTCTCTTCCACATGACCTCTCTCTGTCCATGCAGCTGGCTTGGGCTTCCTCCCATCAAGGTGGTTAGACTTCTTCTATGGCATCTCGCTTCCAAGAGGGAGGAATAGAAACTGCCAGTTATCTTAAGGATTGATTTTGGAAGTTCTAGAATGTTATTTCTGCTTCAGTCTGTTGGTCAAAGCAAGTCACAAGGCCAATCAGATTCAAGAGGAGGGGAAATAGACTCTGCCTTCTGACCTGAGAGGTGCTATGTATGTTCAGGAATAAAAGAGCTGATAGCAGCCATTTTTTGAAGACTGCTTCATCCCACATGTTTGGGTGCTTTGTGACACCACATCAGATAATTGATATATTCTTCGTAGCTAGGCCACTTTGAACCAGTTACACATTCTTTCTGGACCTTTCTATGAAATGCAGGAGGTTGCATTTCTCTAAGTTGCTGATGCACATTTAGCATTTTTTTTTTTTTTTTTTTTTTTTTTTTGGTGATGTCTCAAGGACAACTGAAGTCCAATAAATATTCAGAGGGAACTTGAGGAACATTGGTGAGCTATGGATATTTCTAACTGTTCATCTGTCCTTTATTCTCCAATGAGAAAAAACAAACAAGAATCCAGATGAAAGGCATGCATTGCATTCATTGACATTGAAGAGTAGAGAAGTAGAGCCAGCATCCTTCCCAACTCTCTAGGGACCATCCTCCTGCCACATTGCCCTTTCTTTCTAGAAACTTCATATCTAAGCAGACAAGAAGGGCCAAACGCTTAGCTGATGCCCCTATATAACTTGAGATGCTAATTTCAGAGGACCAGTTTACCCTGGGAACCTTATATTCAAGCAAAGGCTTGACAACCTTATATGCATGCCCTTCCTTTTCTTCTTAATTCCCTGTACCCTGTTCTCTTTCATCCAGCTTTGCTTTCTTTTTTGCTGCCTTTTTTTTCTTTCTTTCTTAATCCTATCCATCCCTTTGTTCCTCTTTCCTCTCAAGATTGGAAAGAGCATTGAATTAGGAGCCATAAGACCTGGTTTGTCACTCCAGCTTTGTCCCCATGACAGTGAAATCTGCATTCTTTCTTGGCTGCAGATTCCTTGTCTGCACCATGAGAGTGTTAGACAAGATGCTCTGAAAAGTCCCTTACATGCCTAACATGCCAAAGGAATATTCCTTCTGCAATAAATTCAGTGCCAAGGCTTGGAGGAGTTTGCATATTAAAGACTCAGAACCCTTTAGAAGAGGTGTGCTTGTATCTTAAGCCTTCATGAGTGATTTACAATACTTCTCAGTACTTTTTTCCTGAGTTTTTAAAAGCTAGAATATATGCAAATCTACCAGACACATGTCCTGTTTAACTTACTGTTAAGTTACAGGTCTGACTGTGGAAAAGTTCTCCAAAATACCTGGCAACCCATCTAGGAAGCAGGAAGAAGAGCTAAGCAATGTGCCCCTAAAATTCCATAGCAAAAACATAAAATTATATACACATAGATTATAATTATGTAAACAATAATGCACATGAACAATAAATACCTGGAAGAGAACAATGTTTAAACTTCTCATGTTAGGGTGGGAGAATTCTAAGGTTTTAAAAAAATTGATGTTACATTGTTTCTAACATTAAAAATATATATACACCGTTAAGAATACCGATCTAATTTCCACCAGCCTGTATAATCTATTTTCTTTTGAATTCAGTTACTCCTCTTCTCTTTAACCTTTTTTTCTTATTACAAACTGACCCATACGCATACTTTTTTAAAGGTGAGTTTTTACTTTGCCCACAAGTTACAAAAACAACATGAACCAAATAATGATTGATTGGAGGAGTGAACAAGAAGCAAGAGACTATCAGAAGGGAGGAGAGAAAGAAGGACCAAAAAATAGAGAATTGCCGGGATAGCATAGAGAATCAAGCTGCATTTCAGAAAGATTCTTAAAGGCATGCAAAATTTATACACACATTTTATATATCAAGTCTGAATTGGGGTTTTAAGGAAGTTGAAAGTCATGGCCTTGATAAGAGAGAGAGAAGCGCCCCCTCCACCCCTTCTTTGGTTGGAGAGGCCAATTCTAAAGCTTGAGGTAGAGGAAAGAGGGAGAAGTGAGTCAGCAGTGTTCCTCAACACACAGCAAAATAATTATTGCAATCACTATACCGTGAGGTATCAAAACAGCTTTCCTAAGATCACAGAAATTATCTCTGGAACCAGGAGTCAAACCCCAGGTTGCCATTTTATTCCCAGAGCAGGAGGTGATCAGCAGAATGTGCCCAGGGGTCTTCATGGTTGAGCATAGATTTTTCATGCTCAACCCTTCTTTGTTCTAACATGCAAAGTAGTTTGTTTTCTACCTACTCAAAACATTTTTTAAAAATCCTCATCAATTATGAAACATATGACATCAAATTAGTCCAAATAAAAGGGTGACTGGTCTAGGAAGAATACCAGAAATGATGGTATTTCAGCTCCTGGGATGGCTGCAAAAGGAGGACTGGTAATGAATTCAACAAAGTCACTCAAACTTCCTGAGTAGAGACAACAGCTGTCCACCCAAGACATAGCTGACACCTTCCTGGGGCCATTTCAGGGAGGGCTCAGGTGCTTACTGTGGACAAGGCAGATCCTACCCTGTGTGGAGGGAACCTTCCAGGGCAAAGACTTAGGCTTCCTGAGCTTTGTTTTGTGAAGGAAGGTAGCATGTGTGACACTGATGACACCAACTTGTTGAACAGACATGCATGTTAATGTTAGTCAACCAGTGAAGACCCCACTCAGACTGCTGAAGCCCTCTGTGACACTCCACCATGCGAATACACTGGGAAGACACAATGATTTTCACTTTTCTTTCCCGAAACATTTAGTGACTCTCCTGTCTTGGAACCATTTAGGTGGAACCTTACTAGCAAGACTCTCTCCTCCTGACGGTATTTGAATTTGAATGTTTTGCTAGCAAAATGGAGCTTCCTGTTCTGACACCCCTTATAAGATGTTGTCAGCAAGCTGTCACAGCAACCTAAAATATTTGGCTGGGATGGGAGAAAAGCAAAAGGAGCTGTGTTAATCAGGGTATGCAAACTGATGTAACATCCAACCCTCAAGCCTCAGTGGATTTGTATAATAAAGATTCATTTCTTGTTCATGTCAACATTCAGTGTGATTCGGTGGCGGGGCTGGTTTCGTGCAATCAGCCAGAGACCCTGGCTCCTACTGTGTCATGGCACCATTATCTTCAACAAGTGGCCTCTGAAATCCCTCCTGAACTGCAAGAGAGAATGAAAGATCTAGAATGCCAGATGGGGTAGTGGCAATCATCACGTCCACTCACATTCCACTGGCCAGAACTTGATCCCACAGCCCCACCTACTTGCGAGGAGTCCGGAAAACTCCATGTTAGCACTGTGCCTGGGAAGAAGAGAGGAGCCTGGACACTGGGGAGCACTATATTCTCAGCCCCATGCACTGAATTAAACATGAACTATTCATCTTAAATGTAATCTTGCACAGTTATGACTGGAGGCTTATGAGGGAGAGTCTTTAGTAGTCAGGATTCTTCTCCTGTGCTATATCCTGGTATTTCCCCCGGATTTTCACATTGGAAGCAGCCTGTTGTATGTGTGTGGTTTTGGATGGTACTGCTGTCTTCAAGTGTTTGTGGACATACATGGGAGCTTAAAGAGTCAGCAGCCTATATTGGTACAGAAAATTGAACATTTAAAGCAAGTGTAAAAGAAGTATTCTTCTGGAGCTCTTGCCAAGAAGAGAGACTATTTAATTTCATTACCGTAGGAGAAAATGGAATCTGTGCAATCAGCTTTTAAAGTTGTTGCAACTGGAAACTTTGGAGCCTTCGGGATAGGAAAAGAGGTGAAAAGAAACATAACCGATCCCTCTACCTGCAGTCTGCTTGTCCTGATGGCATGGGTGATTTCAGGAATAATAATTATAATGAGGGAAAGAGAAACAGGATAGGGAAAGCGAAAGGAATACAGCCTTTTATAGCACATATTTTAAGGAAAAATATGGGAGTTGGCAGTGCTTTGGAGATTACAAATAATTTAACCCAAAAGGCAAAGCTACTCTGTGAAGATACAAGTTAGAAATTATTGGAGAGTTGCCCAGTATCTTCATACTACTTAAGACTGTCTGTCTTTTCCAGTGTGAAGCAGGTAGAGAACATCAGACTGCAGCAAAAGACTAGGCGATGACCTCTTAAAAGTCTGCTGTGCCCTTGGTTTGTGTTTCCCATAGGTTGGGAACAGTATGTGTTGCGCGTTTGTGTACTTTTTTCCTTAATTTTGGAGTAATCAATGTACGAAAGAAGCCCTTCTTTGTGACCATTCTGCATGCCAAGTGATACGGTGGCATTTCCTCTAGAGACTTACAGAAGAAAAAATTAAATA